TCCCTGGGTCCTCCTGCTGTGTACCCAGGCGGGACCTGGGCTTGGGAAGGGGGCCTGCAGCACAGGAAATGGCAGAACAGCGGTGGGGTGCCAGATGCCCCCCACTCTCCTGGGGGTGGGGAGGCAGGAGGGAGATGCAGCCCCCCCTGGGGGGGCTTCTTTTGTGTTAAAACCGGTTTTTGAGGTTATTCTGCCATTGTTAATATTATGAAGCAGGGTTATTCTGGATAAACGTGCATGGGTGTACCATAATTAGGGATTTCACCATCTTTTTTTCGACTCTCGGGAATAGAAACTCCATCTCTCTCTTTTTAAAACGAGGCATACATACAGCAAAATGCACAAACCCTAAGTGTACAGCCAGATGCACCTGTGTCCACATATACAGTCATTCCTTGCCTTCCAGAAGCCCTCGCATCCCTCAGGCAACACTGACCCTCCTGCATGGAAAGCTTCTCTGTTTTGCTTCTTACAGGGTTTCTGACTCCAAATGTGTGGGTTTCCCCACACCAAGCAGCTCTGCCTTTCTTTTTTTTTTTTTTTGTGGTACGCGGGCCTCTCACGGTTGTGGCCTCTCCCGTTGTGGAGCACAGGCTCCGGACGCGTAGGCTCAGCGGCCACGGCTCACGGGCCCAGCCGCTCCGCGGCATGTGGGATCTTCCCAGACCGGGGCACAAACCTGTGTCCCCTGCATCGGCAGGCGGACTCCTAACCACTGTGCCACCGGGGAAGCCCTGCCTTTCTTGATAGATGCCGACTGGGCATCCTGCAGTTTAATTCAGTTCTGACACTGGCCGCCTGGAGTTAGCACAGACCCCTTGTGTTAAGGGTTTGGTTGCACAAGGCTGCCCCCACCCCACTTAAGATGCCAGTGGGGAGGCGGGGCCTCCCATACTTCTGACTGACCGACTGTAAATTGAGGGTCCCCATGACCCCCTCCTCGGGGTCAGTAATTTGCTAGAAGAGCTCAGAGAAACATGCGTAACAGCCCGCTGGGAGAGACACACAGGGCCAGGTACAGGGAGGGACGCGGAGCCTCCATGCCCTCTCCAGCCCCCCCTTCCCAGCACCATCACGTGTTCAACCCAGAAGCTCTCCAAACCTGGTCGTTTAGGGTTTTCACCGGGGCTCGGTTCTGAAGGCAGGATTGATTGAATCACTGGTGATTAAGTCAATGGCCAGTGTCGCCACCCCCGCCCCCCGCTGCGGAGATGCTCCTCTGTCCCCATGGCTCAGGAAGCCCCAGGGGTTCTGGGTGCTTTGTGCCAAGAACCTGGACGAAGACCCAACGTCTGTTGTATCCCAGTTCCCAACCCCAAGGGTAACTGCTGTTCTAACTTCTATCGTCATAGGTTAGTTTCGCCTATCCTCGAGCTTCATGTAACTGAAATTATCCTGTAAATAATGTTTTGTATCTAGTAGAAATGCCGTTTCAACAAAATGCAAGTTTGTTGTATAAAGTTAGTGCATTCACCTCTGGAGCATATTTGGGGAGTGAATTAAGTGTGAGACCAGGGCCGGCCGTGTGGGAATACTCGTTCACACTCCCTGGTGAGTCGTGTGAATGGACGTAGTTCTTGTTTTTTACCACCTCGCCTGAGAGTCAGGATTTGGAAAATAAACTGGAAGCTTGGAAGGACCCGTAGGGGGTTTTGGTTCCATATTGGAGGCTTGTAACATCTGACCCCTAAGTACAAAGGCTGCTGGTCGCCCAGCCCTCAGCCCTGTGTGACTGCAGGTGGGTGGAGCGTGTGGCGCCAGGAGGGTCCAAAAGGGCCAGAGACTCGGAGGTTTCTTCTAATGTTTGGGCAGGTGGCACAGCAGCAGCGGGTGGCTTTCAGCGCTGAGTTTGGGCACGGCGCCTTAGAGTCTGTATGATGTTTTCCATTACAGTTCTTGAGGGTTCAAGTGTATAACTGTGACTTGAATAAGACATTTAAGGCCTTAAGCGCTGAGACCTCCTAGGGCGTGGCGGGGGCGCCCTCTGACCGCGTGGCTGCCCGCCCTCCTGCCGCGCCAGGTAGCTGTGACCGCTGAGCAGGGAAGACGAGGCCCACTGTGTGTTGGGGCCTTTTCCTTCTTTATTGCTCAAAAAAGAGACCGTTTGTGGTTCTTTTGTGTCCAACAGGAGTAAAGGTCCATGGATTAATAAAATGGGCTCAATCTGCCACAGAAGGTGTGGTCAGTCGGCCAAAAAGTGTTTCCCCCAGGCCGGCCACGTTCGGGCAGAAAGTCATCGCAAAAGAAGAAAGTGTCTCCTGACAGGTCCCCTGGAGACTGTGTTTGAGATTGGCAGCGAGAAAAGCGTCACACTCACCCTTCGCCTTGCACAAGCTTCATTTTTTATTTTGCTTTCTGGCCCTGCCTGTGTGAAACACGGCTGCAGCCACAGAGGCCTTTGCGTTTCATCTTGTTTATTTTGTTTGTCTATTTATTTATTTATGGCCGCGCCGCGGCTCGTGGGATCTTAGTTTCCCCAACCAGGGATTGAACCCGTGCCCTCGGCAATGAAGGTGCGAAGCTCTGACGAGTGGACCGCCAGGGAATTCCCACATTTCATTTTATTTAACATCTTATAACAAGTACAGAGTTTCGACCTAAAGAAGGTGGCTTTTTTTTTCATGTTATATTCAAAAATAAAAACTCCTCTTTCTCATGCAGTCTGGAGCCATGATATTTTAAACCATCAAGGTTACGAAATCAATTTAGTTAGCATGACCAGAAAAAGAGGGAAGCTAGGAACGTGATGCCTCTCACACGGGAGGGAGTGCACCTTCACGGGCCTGTGTTCCAGACGCACACACGCGTGTGGCCACCACAGCCTGACCTTGAGCTGCCCTGGCCCACACTGGGGGTATGACTGTGAGCTCTTGGGACTTTTTGTTCACATCGTCCACCAAAAGGTTTTACTAATAAAGGCACCTCTCATACTTGCACATCTATGTTGTGAGGGCTTGAAGGAATGAGATCCCCCAGCTGTCGAATGGACAGATGGACCTTCCAGGGGCCAGGCCTGCCAGTGTGAGGAGAGCGCGAGAGAGGCAGAGGTGTGCCCTCCCGAGCTGCCTGGGCACAGCGTCCCTTCTGTTGGTGGCTGGAGGCAAGAATGTCCGTTGTGAAACGTCCTGGGAGCTGCGGAGGGCCCTCCGAGTAAGGCCTCCTGTGTTACAGACCCCACAGCTGATTGAGAGTGGCTTTGCCCAGCAGCTAGGGGACGACACCGTCTGTGCTGTCCCCTCAGTGTCAGGCCAGCTTAGGACAGTGCACGTGGCCTGTGCACGGTCGCTGCCCA